AGTTCCAGTTTCAGTTCTGGTTAGTTCCAGTTCGGTTCTGGTTTTAGTTCTAGTTCAGTTCCAGTTCAGTTCTGTTTAGTTCCAGTTTTCAGTTCAGTTCTGGTTAGTTCAGTTCTGGTTCAGTTCCAGTTCAGTTCTGGTTCAGTTCTGGTTCAGTTCCAGTTCAGTTCTGGTTTAGTTCCAGTTCAGTTCTGGTTTTGAGCGTGTGGTTTCTTGTGGTCTCTCTCTTTTTTCCAGGAATGGCTCTGAACTTCATCCTGCAGAATAACTTCCGTCCGAACGTGGGGATGAGGCCGGACTCCCGGAAGATCGGAGTCCTGATCACAGACGGAAAGTCCCAGGACGAGATCGTGGTCAACTCCCAGAACCTGAAGGACAGCGGCATCGAGCTCTACGCCATCGGTCTGTACCGGGACTGGGCTGGACCGGGTCTAGACCGGGTCTAGACTGGGTTTAGACCCAGTCTAGACCGGGTAGACTGGTCTAGACTGGGTTTAGGTCTAGATCTTGGTTTAGGCCTGTTTTAAATATGGTTTAGTGCTTGTTTTGTCCTGTTTTAGTCCTAGTTTAGTTTAGTCCTGGTTTAGTCCTTGTTTAGTCCTGCTTTAGTCCTGCTTTAGTCCTAGTCCTGTTTTAGTCCATGTTTAGTCCTGTTTAGTCCTTGTTTAGTCCTCTTTAATCCTATTTAGTCCTGGTTTAGTCCTGTTTTAGTCCATGTTTAGTCCATGTTTAGACCTTGTTTAATCCTGCTTTAGTCCTGCTTTAGTCTTGGTTTAGTCCTAGTTTAGACCTGGTTTAGTCCAGCTTTAGTCCTGGTTCTGACCCGGTCTTTGTGCAGGTGTGAAGAACGCGGACGAGAACGAGCTGAGGACCATCGCCTCGGACCCTGAGGAGATCCACATGTACAACGTGGACGACTTCAGGTTCCTCCTGGACATCGTGGACCAGCTCACGGTCAACCTCTGCAACAGCGTCAAGGGCTCAGGTCAGCGGCAGAGTGGTTAGCCCAGGGGTGGGCAAACTTTTTGGCTCGCGGGCCACATAGGGTCCTAAAATTTGACTGAAGGGCCGGACAGAAGACGGGACATAACGTGATAAGAACCCGGCTCCATTGCACTTGTATTTACGCTCATGTAGGACGTGTTCTGCTCTAGGGCTTCACAATATGGATCAAAAAATATATCTCGATATACGAAATATATCTCGATATATGTTCAAGAAAAAATGACCCCCTAAAACTGAAAACTGCAAAAACAAATCTGCCAAATTCCACAAGGTCTTTTGAAGTGTAAGAGGTCGACAGTTCATACAGGAACATTTAAGATGACAAAAAACCTAATTACATAAAAAACTAGAAAAGCAGTCAGAGAGCGCAGACCTCCGCCAAGGACTCCCCCCATTTTTTATATAAATTGCGATAAAATCAGTCTTCTGGATCAGATCCGGATCAGCCTTTGGAATATGAAAGAGGATCCCATTGTCCATCCCTGAGTCAAATTTCATGGGGTTTGGTCAATAATTAACCCAGATATTGAGAAACTAAATGGTTTGGCCCCATTTACCACAATGTTAACTAAAATTTCAAAGTGATCCAGAATCCAGGATTTCTTCCGGATCAGCCCCAAAATGAAATCAGTTCTTCCTTTTCACATTTCCAACAAATCCTGAAAATTTCATCAAAATCGGTCCATAACTTTTTGAGTTATGTTGCTAACAGACAAACAAACAAACAAACAGACAAACAAACAAACAAACAAACAAACAAACAACAAACAAACAACACAAACAAACAACAAACAAACAGACAAACAAACAAACAACAAACAAACAGACAAACAAACAGACAAACAAACAAAACAAACAAACAACAAACAAACAAACAACAAACAAACAAACAGACAAACAAACAAACAGACAAACAAACAAACAAAAACAAACAAACAGACAAACAAACAGACAAACGCCGGCAAAAACATAACCTCCTCAGTGGAGGTAATAATTTAACTGTAAAATAAAAGAAATAAAACATATTTCCTTCTTTTCATTCATAAATAAAACAACTCAACTCAAGTTCATCTTTGCATTAACTCTGTTCTCCAGACCAGAACCAGAACATTGAGCTCCTTCAGATCCATGTTCCAGCGTCAGGATCTGAGGTTTAATCCCACAATCCACTGCAGATCAAACCCAACGTTCCAAACACTGTTGAACAAGTGACACTGCAGCAGATTATTCATTAAAATCTTCTGCATAAATAAACTTTACATGACTAAACTTTACAGTATATAAATCATAACGACTCTAGAGCCACATCAGCTCGTTTGACATTATAATGTGTTTAATTCAGTTTTGTGCACGTGTGTTTACGTTTTACAGAAACTAAACTTAAGCACATGACTCATTTGCATAAACAGCACTTCTCCTGCAGCTCAGCTCGTTCAGCTTCTTTCGGACTAAAGGACGAGACTCGGTGGAACATGAGGATGTGCTGCTGCTGGTGGTTTTGTCTGTAAATGGTGGAAAAGGTTCGTGGGGCTTGAAGTTTTTCACTGGCACCAACTTTCAGCGTTCAGGACGACAGTGACGAGTGAATGAGACACGAGCAACAAACTCAGGGAGGCGGAGGCGACGAGAGAGAAACAAACAAGCGAAGAGGCGAAATCTACATTGAATATAAGCTTTATATCGATATATACAATATGTCAGAATTCATATCGAGTTTAAAATCTCGATATATTTAAAATATCGATATATCGCCCACCCCTATTCTGCACTACACGCTACAACTTTTGGACGTGTAAGTTTCAGAATTCATGTAAAGTGAAAGAGACCTGCTCCACTGCGCAGCACGAGCGAGCGTGAGTCACGCCACCAGGTCACGCCACCAGGTCACGCCACCAGGTCACGCCACTAAACACCTACAGGGCAGGAAAACTAGACCATGAAGATTTGTAACACAGCGTCTATAAATCTTTTGACTTTGCTGTGCAAAATCAAAAACTGAAAAAATTTATCATTATCTGTTTTTTCATTTTGGTTTTGGAGACAAATAATGAAGAAAATAGTTTTTTCATTTTCTTATTTTTGGTTTCCTTTTGAAAAACTAATGAACTAATGAAGAAGGATTAAGAAAACAAACCTCAGTCCACTCCCACATCCCGCCCACAAATCCAAAGACAATCAAAGTCCCGAGACCGAATCAAAGGACGAACATGAAGCACCAGCAGCATTTTAACAAGAACAAACCACAAACATGATCCAGGAACCAAATTCAATCAGCGAAAAAATCTGAATAAACCAAACACTTACTTTAATTTAAAAAAATGTTTTTTCGCATGAACAACATATACATGAACATAAGATATAACCGAAAAAGATTAACAGGGCAATTCTCACACACACACACACACACACACACACACACACACACACACACACACACACACACATATTCACATATTCACTAAGCAAAGATTCATATTCAGTGACCAAATGAATTTTAAAAAGGGAAATGGGTAGAGAAAAATAAATAAATATATAAATAAATACAAATAAAATATTAATTAATTCATTAAAAATAAAATAAAGTAAAATAGGTAAATAAATACAAATAAATAAATAAATAATAATAATAACAACAATAACACTTACTTCAAAATTAAGTTTAATTCCAAATAATCATTTTCATTAGGAATTAAGTGTTTACATGGTCTTTTTAAAGCAGATTAAATTATTTTTATTCAGAATTAAAAGTGTCTGATGTAAACGTGGCAGGTGAGAGGAAACAGCTCGAACACGTCTGAAGTTCTGAACACATTCCTGACCCGCGGCGAGTGTCCTGACGTCACCCGGAGCGTCGCCCGCCACATTCTCCCGCCACATTTCTCCGCCACATTCTCTCCCGCCACTTTCTCCCGCCACATTCTCCCGCCACATTCTCCCGCCACATTCTCCCGCCACTTCTCCCGCGCCACTTTCTCCCGCCACTTTCTCCCGCCACATTCTCCCGCCACTTTCTCCCGCCACTTTCTCCCGCCACTTTCTCCCGCCACTTTCTCCCGCCACTTTCTCCCGGACACATCACGAGGGTTTAAATTATCCCCCAATCACTTTAGTCAAAACCTCCTCCGCGTCCGTGTCCGAGCCGTGACCTCGCCGCAGCTGCGTCCGACGCCTCCGGGAGACGCCGCGTTTACGGCGCTCCTACGGAATGGCCGCCGGTGCCGGAGGTCGGAGGTCGGCTGTAAATCCACTCGGCGGTTTGAGGTTTTAGTGAACGTGAGGAACAGGTTAACGACCTGGAAGTAAATCTGGAACCAAACCAGGTGTGAGCAGGACCTCCACAACCGCCACAAGTCCTGGGTTAGTTCTGGTTTAGTTCCACTTTAGTCCTGGTTTAGTCCCAGTTTAGTCCTGGTTTAGTTCCACTTTAGTCCTGGGTTAATCCTGGGTTAGTCCTGCTTTAGTTTGGTTTAGTGCTGGTTTAGTTCTAGTTTAGTCCTGTTTAGTCCTGGTGTCCTGGTTTAGTCCTGGTTTAGTTTAGTCTGGTTTAGTTCTTTTAGTCCTGGTTTAGTCCTGGTTTTGTCCTGGGTTAGTCCTGTTTAGTCTGGTTAGTCCTGTTTAGTTCCTGGTTAGTCCTGGTTAGTCTGGTTAGTCCTGGTTTAGTCCTGCTTTTAGTCCTGGTTTAGTCCTGGTTTAGACCTGTTTAGTCCTGGTTTAGACCTGGTTTAGACCTGGTTTAGTCCTGGTTTAGACCTGGTTTAGTCCTGGTTTAGACTGGTTTAGTCCTGGTTTAGACCTGGTTTAGTCCTGGTTTAGTCCTGGTTGAGTCCTGGTTTAGACTGGTTTAGTCTGTTTAGTCCTGGTTGAGTCCTGGTTTAGTCCTGGTTTAGACCTGGTTTAGACCTGGTTTAGTCCTGGTTTAGTCCTGGTTTAGTCCTGGTTAGTCCTGGTTTAGACCTGGTTTAGTCCTGGTTGGTTTAGTCCTGGTTTAGTCCTGGTTTAGTCCTGGTTTAGTCCTGGTTAGACCTGGTTTAGTCCTGGTTTAGTCCTGGTTTAGTCCTGGTTTAGTCCTGGTTTAGTCCTGGTTTAGACCTGGTTTAGTCCTGGTTTAGTCCTGGTTTAGACCTGGTTTTAGTCCTGGTTAGTCCTGGTTTAGTCCTGGTTTAGTCCTGGTTTAGTCCTGGTTTAGTCCTGGTTTAGACCTGGTTTAGTCCTGGTTTAGTCCTGGTTTAGTCCTGGTTTAGACCTGGTTTTAGTCCTGGTTTAGTCCTGGTTTAGTCCTGGTTTAGTCCTGGTTTAGACCTGGTTTAGTCCTGGTTTAGTCCTGGTTTAGTCTGGTTTAGTCCTGTTTAGTCTGGTTTAGTCCTGGTTTAGTCCTGGTTAGTCCTGGTTTAGTCCTGGTTTAGTCCTGGTTTAGTCCTGGTTTAGTCCTGGTTTAGACCTGGTTTAGTCCTGGTTTAGTCCTGTTTAGTCCTGGTTTAGACCTGGTTTAGTCCTGGTTTAGTCCTGGTTTAGTGGTTCCTGGTTTAGACCTGGTTTTAGTCCTGGTTTAGTCCTGGTTTAGTCCTGGTTTAGACCTGGTTTAGTCCTGGTTTAGTCCTGGTTTAGTCCTGGTTTAGTCCTGGTTTAGTCCTGGTTTAGTCCTGGTTTAGTCCTGGTTGAGTCCTGGTTTAGTCCTGGTTTAGACCTGTTGTCCTGTTTGTCCTGGTTTAGTCCTGGTTTAGACCTGGTTTAGTCCTGTTTAGTCTGGTTTAGTCCTGGTTTTAGACCTGGTTTAGTCCTGGTTTAGTCCTGGTTTAGTCCTGGTTTAGTCCTGGTTGGTTTTAGACTGTTTAGTCCTGGTTTAGACCTGGTTTAGTCCTGGTTTACCTGGTTTAGTCCTGGTTTAGACCTGGTTTAGTCCTGGTTTAGTCCTGTTTAGTCCTGGTTTAGACCTGGTTTAGTCCTGTTTTAGTCCTGGTTAGTCCTGGTTTAGACCTGGTTTAGTCCTGGTTTAGTCCTGGTTTAGTCCTGGTTTAGTCCTGTCCTGGTTTAGTCCTGGTTTAGTCCTGGTTTAGTCCTGGTTTAGTCCTGTTTAGTCCTGGTTGTTGGTTGAGTCCTGGTTTAGTCCTGGTTTTAGTCCTGGTTTAGTCCTGGTTTAGACCTGGTTTAGACCTGGTTTAGTCCTGGTTTAGTCCTGGTTTAGTCCTGGTTGTTTCATGTTTGATATGTTGTAAAAGTGCGTCAGGTTTGTGGTTTTTTGCCTCTCGTTGAACTCGACTCACAAATCACGTCGTGTTGAAAAGATCTTTAAATCACCGGGAGTTTCCTCTGAAAAGTTTCACGTCGTCGACACGAGCGCGGCGACCCCGAGGTCAGAGGTCACGGGGGCGGGGCCGCTCTGTCAGAACGTGTCCGCGGCTTCGCCAAGACGTCGTGTTTAAAAGGTTTTATCTGTCAAAACCACAAAATAAGATTTACTCAACTCATGTTATTTCAAAAGAATCCTGCTCCCACTTAGGGCAGGAATGTTCTGAAGGTCTCAGCCTCGTTCAGTCCTGGTTCAGTCCTGGTTCAGTCCTGGTTTAGTCCTGGTTTAGTCCTGGTTCAGTCCTGGTTCTGGTTTCAGTCCTGGTTCATCCTGGTTTAGTCCTGGTTCAAGTCCTGGTTTAGTCCTGGTTTAGTCCTCCTGTTCAGTCCTGGTTTCCTGTTTAATCCTGGTTTAGTCCTGGTTCAGTCCTGTTCAGTCCTGGTTTAGTCCTGGTTTATTCCAGAGGTTTTGTAACATAATTCCAATCTGTCATTGAGTGCGTTTACATGCACATCAATAACCCGGTTATTCTTCATATCCCGGTTCTGTCAGTGTTCGTGTTACTGTGTTTACATGTTCACTGAGAAACCGGGACACTCATATCCGCGTGTACATGATCAAATGGAGTGTCCCGGTTTCTTGACATAATCTTACAAATGCGCAGGCGCAAAAATTAACTTAAATCAATTTCATAAACAATGAAAAATACAAACCGTGAGCTCCTTTAGCATAAGAAGCTAAGGAGCTACGAGATCTCCCACAATCCACTGTGCAGATTCTTCATTAAAATCTTCTGCATAAATAAACTCAACTTTACAACATATAAACCATAAACACTATAGACACATCAGCCCGTTTGATCAGATCATTCAGCTCTGATCACATTTGTTTACGTTTTACAGAAACGAAACTTAAGACCGTTTGGCTAATTAGCATAAACTGTTAGCGGCGATAAAAACAACTCGCTCCTTGTGCCGCTGATGCGATCAGTTTTTTTTTTGGACTAAATGACACGACTCTGTGGATTATGTGTGTTGTTTCTGTGACAGAAGAGGTGCTGATGATGGTGAGTCTGTTCTGTGTGTGTGTTGTACAGGAGATAGTTCATGTTTTAGTTTTTCAGCGTCACACGAGTGCAGGTTGTTCATGTGCAGGTTTAGCGCAGCTCTTTATTTTACAGTCATTTCACTCGTTTGGTCACTTTATTTATGTTGGTCAATTTATTTATGTCACTACTGTTGTGGTGAAAGGCTGGAAAGTGTCTTTTGGACGCATGTGACTCAACTTTATGTTGCAGTAACCGGGATACTGCGTTTACATGTCACAGTATCCCGGTTACTATCGGAATAAACCAGCTACAGTAACACGGTTTCTAATAACCGGGTTACTGCGTTTACATGCACCATCAAGAAACCGGGATACTCAAAAAACCCGATCATAACCGGGTTATTGATGTGCATGTTTACGCACTCATTGTGACCTGATCCTGTCCTGGTCTAGTCCTGGTCTGGTCCTGGTCCTGTCCTGGTCTTGTACCTGGTCTGGTCCTGGTCCAGTCCTGGTCCAGTCCTGGTCCGGTCCTGGTCCGGTCCTGGTCCAGTCCTGGTCTGGTCCTGGTCCGGTCCTGGTCCAGTTGTTCCTGACTCTTAGTTCTTGTCTCTCACAGATGAGCCAGAGCAGGCGGTTCTGGAGCCGCCCATGGACCTGGTCACGTCTGACGTCACTCCGTACTCCTTCAGAGTCTCGTGGAGTCCTCCCGACATCGCAGCCGAGAAGTACAAGATCACCTACGTCATGACCGCAGGAGGACCCACGATGGAGGTAAGAACATCCAACACCCCAGGAGAACCTACTGTGGAGGTAAGAACATCCAACACCCCAGGAGAACCTACTGTGGAGGTAAGAACATCCAACACCCCAGGAGAACCTACTGTGGAGGTAAGAACATCCAACACCCCAGGAGACCTACTGTGGAGGTAAGAACATCCAACACCCCAGGAGAACCTACTGTGGAGGTAAGAACATCCAACACCCCAGGAGGACCTACTGTGGAGGTAAGAACATCCAACACCCCAGGAGAACCTACTGTGGAGGTAAGAACATCCAACACCCCAGGAGGACCTACTGTGGAGGTAAGAACATCCAACACCCCAGGAGAACCTACTGTGGAGGTAAGAACATCCAACACCCCAGGAGACCTACTGTGGAGGTAAGCATCCAACACCCCAGGAACACTGTGGAGGTAAGAACATCCAACACCCAGGAGGACCTACTGTGGAGGTAAGAAACATCCAACACCCCAGGAGGACCTGTGAGGTAAAGAACATCCAACACCCCAGGAGGACCTACGTGGAGGTAAAACATCCAACACCCCAGGAGACCTACGTGGAGGTAAGAACATCCAACACCCCAGGAGGACCTACTGTGGAGGTAAGAACATCTGAGACCAGGATGTGTGTATCTCTGGTCTAAAAGTGTCTCTGTGGTTCAGACCAGTGTTTCTCAAACTGTGGTCCAGGTCCTTCAGGTGGGACTTGGAGCTCTTCAGTTTGTGGGTTTTCCTCGTTTTTTCTGTCGTTCTTTGGACCGTTTCTTGTTTCGAACCACAGAAGAAATGATCTAGTCCAGTTTGAAACCTGGTTCAGTCCTAGATTAGACCTGGGACAGTCCTGTTATAGACCTGGTGTAAATCTGTTGTGGTTTTTGTTGTTGTCGTGGTTCTCCGTAAACCTGATGCACGTTCTTGTTCTTCTGCAGGTGTTTGTGGACGGAGAGACGATGGACGTGCTGCTGGAGAACCTCACTCCTCTGACCGAGTACAGAGTCAACGTGTTCACGGTGGTGGGAGACGAGAGCAGCGAGCCGCTCGTCGGGCTGGAGACCACGCGTGAGTAGAAAGACCAGAGCCGGTCCCGGTCCCAGGTGTCTCCATCTGATCTAAACCAGGACTAAACTAAGACTAAAGCAGGACTGTCAGGTTTAAACCAGGACTAAAACAGGACTAAACCAGGACTAAAACAGGACTAAACCAGGACTAAAACAGGACTAAACCAGGACTAAAACAGGACTAAAACAGGACTAAAACAGGACTATCCCAACTTTTGACTCATCTGATCCTCGCAAACAGAAAAGACGAACAAAAAGTGAAATCATTTGTAACTAAATGGGCTAAAGTCCTGTTTTAATCCTGTTTAGTCCTGGTTTAGTCCTGTTTTAGTCCTGGTTTAGTTCTGGTTTAGTCCTGGTTTAGTCCTGGTTGAGTCCTGGTTTAGTCCTGTTTAGTCCTGTTTAGTCCTGGTTTAGTCCTGGTTGAGTCCTGGTTTAGTCCTGGTTTAGTCCTGGTTTAGTCCTGGTTTAGTCCTGGTTTAGTCCTGGTTTAGTCCTGGTTTAGTCCTGGTTTTAGTCCTGGTTTAGTCCTGTTTAGTCCTGGTTTAGTCCTGTTTAGTCCTGTTTAGTCCAGGTTTAGTCCTGGTTTAGTCCTGGTTAGTCCTGGTTGAGTCCTGGTCCTTAGTCCTGGTTAGTCCTGGTTTGAGTCCTGGTTTAGTCCTGGTTTAGTCCTGGTTGAGTCCGGTTTAGTCCTGGTTGTAGTCCAGGTTTAGTCCCGTTGTTTAGTCCTGGTTTAGTCCTGGTTTAGTCCTGTTGAGTCCTGGTTTAGTCCTGGTTTAGTCCTGGTTTAGTCCTGTTTTAGTCCTGGTTGTCCTGTTTAGTCCTGGTAGGTTTAGTCCTGGTGTAGTCCTGGTGTAGTCCTGGTTGAGTCCCGGTTGAGTCTCTGGTGAGTCCTGGTTTAGTCCTGGTTGAGTCTGGTTGAGTCCTGGTTGAGTCCAGGTTTAGTCAGTCCTGGTGTAGTCCTGGTTTAGTCCTGTTTAGTCCTGGTTTGAGTCCTGTCCTGGTCCTGTTTAGTCCAGGTTAGTCCGGTCAGTTGAGTCCTGGTTGAGTCCAGGTTGAGTCCAGGTGAGTCCCGGTTGAGTCCAGGTTTAGTCCTGGTTTAGTCCTGGTGTAGTCCTGGTGTAGTCCTGGTTGAGTCCAGGTTGAGTCCAGGTTGAGTCTCACTCTGGTCTCTCCTCAGTCCCGGTCGCTGCTGCGTCAGATCTGCGGGTGTTTGATGAGAAGGTCACGAGTTTCAGACTGAGTTGGACTGAAGCTGAAGGAGCCACAGGATACAGGATCCACTACAGAACCCTGAACGCCACCGCCGGGCAAGAGGAGAGAGAGGTGAGCCTCCTCTGACCCTCTGACCCTCTGACCCTCTGACCCTCCTGACCTCTGACCTCTGACCCTCCTCTGACCCTCTGACCCTCCTCTGACCCTCCTCTGACCTCCTCTGACCCTCCTCTGACCCTCCTCTGACCCTCCTCTGACCCTCACCCTCTGACCCTCTCTGACCCTCCTCTGACCCTCCTCTGACCCTCTCTGACCCTCCTCTGACCCTCCTGACCCTCCTCTGACCCTCTGACCCTCCTCTGACCCTCCTCTGACCTCCTCTGACCCTCTGACCCTCTGACCCTCTCTGACCCTCTCTGACCCCCTCCTCTGACCCTCCTCTGACCCTCTGACCTCTGACCTCTCTGACCCTCCTCTGACCCTCTAACCTCCTCTGACCCTCCTCTGACCCTCTGACCCTCTTCTGACCCTCTCTGACCCTCTGAACCTCCTCTGACCCCCTCTGACCTCTCTGACCTCCTCTGACCTCTGACCTCTGACCCTCTGACCTCCTCTGACCTCTCTGACCCTCTGACCCTCTGACCCTCCTGACCCTCCTCTGACCCTCTGACCCTCCTGACCATCCTCTGACCCTCCTCTGACCCTCCTCTGACCCTCTGACCATCCTCTGACCCTCCTCTGACCCTCTGACCCTCCTCTGACCCTCTCTGACCCTCTGACCCTCTGACCCTCCTCTAACCCTCTGAACATCCTCTGACCCTCTGACCATCCTCTGACCCTCCTCTGACCCTCTGAACATCCTCTGACCCTCTCCTCTTCTCCTCTGTTCTATCAGATTCAAACATGTTTTCAGATCACTTTTACTTTCACTTTCACTTTCAGTTAGAGCCGTTCTCGTTCAATCATGTGTAGAACATAATTCAGAATGCGACCGATCCGTGTGCACTGAAGCCGCGAGGTCTTAAAAGTCTTAAAAAGGTCTTAAATTTCATGTCCCTAAATTAAGACCTGAAAAAGTCTTAAATTCTGTTGTCCAAGTCTTAGTTTTTTCACAAAGGTCTTAAATGTCATGAGCCTCTTTTTTTGTTTACTCACCTGGGCTACGGTGCGAAAAAAAACCCAACAACATCACGTAACGAAATCTTGTAACGTGAATAAACATCTCATTTGGAATCTGTGCAAAAAACACTCTGGTTTCTGGCGCCGGCGTCACGAGTAAAACCGTCAGTAGAGCGGAGGAAGACGTGGGATGGATCATGAGGAAGCGTTGGTCATTTTTAGAATCGGATCTGGTGTTTTTCGCCCACATGACGAGTGCGATGTTGGTTTTAATTATCATCGAAATGGTCTGAAAAAGATCTTAAAAAAGTCTTAAATTTGTGGTAATCAAACCCGGGGAAACCCTGGTCTGGTGTGAGCAGATTGTTGATCTTGAGGTTTTATCCCAGTGCAGTCCTGGTCTTGGTCTGGTCCTGGTCCTCATCTCGGTCTGGTCCACGGTCTGGTCCACGGTCTGGTCCTGGTCTGGTCCTGGTCTGGTCCACACGTGTGCAGCTCCGTCTGATCTTCCTCCATTTTACACCCGCTGTCTGTGAGCTCTGAAACCCGTCCAGCTCCAATATTCTTCTTCTTCTGGAATTTGATGGAATGTGCAACAACTGTGACATCCCCAGACCAGGACCAGACCAGGACCAGACCAGTGGACCAGACCGTGGACCAGACCGTGGACCGGGAGATGTCATAGCTGTTGCACATTCCGTCACATTCCAAAAGTCGTGGAGGGAGTTTGCAGCTGTTTGTTCTCTTTTAAAGACGTCCATTCCAAAACAAAAACCACATTTCTTGGAGCGTTCTCCTCTCTTACAAAGTTGTTCCCTCGTCAAAAACTGAAGAGACGGTCTGAAGGAGTTTTAAATGTCGTCCAAACATGTTTTAATGTTTTAGCGATCTCTATTCAAACCCTCGGTACAGTACGAGTCGGTAAAAATAATTTAATTCTGAATAAAAATTAAGACCACGTAAACACTTAACTCCTGACCTCCTGTAATTAATTCTGAAGTAAGTGTTTGGTTTTGAAGCGGAATTAATTTCTTCCTGGATCATGTTTCTCGTTTATTCTTGTTCAGAATAATGTGGGTGGTGATTCTGTTGTTCGTGTCGTTGAAGCTGAGTCGTGTGTGTGTGTTTGTGTTTGGCAGGTTCGCGTGGGCACCGTCAGCTCCGCGGAGTTGACAGGTCTGACTCCTCTGACGGCGTACAGCGTCCTTCTGTACGCTCTGCACGGGGAGAGCGTCTCTGCGCCTCTGGAGGGAACCGGCGTCACACGTAAGCACCCGCGGGACGCCACCGACACTCCAAAGACCAAGAAAAATTAGTAAAGATGACAGGTCAGGAAGTGGAGAAGGGGGAGGGCTGAGGGTGGGGCGAGGTTGAGGATCGTTGAGGGCTGAGGGTGGGCAAGAGCTGAGGATGTCGAGGGCTGAGGGTGGGTGAGGGCTGAGGATCGTCGAGGGCTGAGGGTGGGCAAGGGCTGAGGATCGTCGAGGGCTGAGGGTGGGCGAGGGCTGAGGGTGGGCGAGGGCTGAGGATCGTCGAGGGCTGAGGATGTCGAGGGTGAGGGTGGGCGAGGGCTGAGGATCGTCGAGGGCTGAGGATCGTTGAGGGCTGAGGGTGGGTGAGGGCTGAGGGTGGGTGAGGCTGAGGGTGGGCGAGGGCTGAGGATCGTTGAGGGCTGAGGATGGTCGAGGGCTGAGGGTGGGCGAGGGCTGAGGATCATCGAGGGCTGAGGGTGGGCGAGGGCTGAGGATCGTCGAGGGCTGAGGGTGGGCGAGGGTTGAGGGTCGTCGAGGGCTGAGGATCGTTGAGGGCTGAGGGTGGGTGAGGGCTGAGGGTGGGCGAGGGCTGAGGATCGTTGAAGGGCTGAGGGTGGGTGAGGGCTGAGGGTGGGCGAGGGCTGAGGATCGTTGAGGCTGAGGGTGGGTGAGGGCTGAGGGTGGGTGAGGGCTGAGGGTGGGCGAGGGCTGAGGATCGTTGAGGGCTGAGGGTGGGTGAGGGCTGAGGGTGGGCGAGGGCTGAGGGTGGGCGAGGGCTGAGGGCTGAGGCGAGGGCTGAGGGTGGGCGAGGGCTGAGGGTGGGCGAGGGCTGCAGGTTAGACACATTTAACACTTTATAAATGTGCAGAAACGTCTGGGCTCAGAAAGGAACATCTACACAAAACAAAGTCAAACTCTATACATGATAATACCGTGTGCACAGTGCCGCTGCCCCCTGCTGGAGCCCTGAGGATCACAGACGTCACTCACAGCTCCATGAGACTCGACTGGGACGCAGCTCCCGCCCCCGTCAGGAAATACATCATCACCTACAAACCAGAGGAGGGCGACCTGCAAGAGGTACGGACGCTAAACACTCAACACTAAACTCTAAACTCTAAACTCTAAACACTAAACACTAAACACTAAACACTAAACACTAAACACTAAACACTAAACACTAAAACTAAACACACTAAACAAAACACTAAACCCTAAAACCTAAACACTAAACCCTAAACACTAAACACTAAACACTAAACTAAACCTAAACCCTAAACACTAAACACTAAACCTAAACACTAAACACTAAACTCTAAACACTAAACTCTAAACTCTAAACTAAACTAAACTAAACAAACTAAACACTAAACCTAAACCTCAGACCAGAGGAGGATCTGCAAGAGGTACAGACCATAAACCTTAAGACAAACCCTAAACCCCTAAATCTTTACATATGTGCTGTTCCTTTACCGATAAATAAATAAATAAGAAACTTAAACCCTGACCCCTAAACCCCTAAACCCTGACCTGTGCCCCTCAGACCAGACGGTTTGAGCTGAACCAGTTCTATAGTCTATATGCTGCGTTCATGTGGTGTGGGAAAGATCGTTCTTTCCACTTGTGAAGTGAAGTGTTGTGTTGTGTTCAGGGGCTTTTATTGTCGTAGTGAAACACGGTGGAGTTTATTCTGATCTGTTACTTGGGTAAAACAGTTTTAGAGTCATTGATTCATCTGCTACAGCCAGAAGAGGATGTTTGTTTTTTTTATTTTAGATTTATTTATTTATTTGAGACGGGGACAGCGCACAATTATTACATGAACCTTTAACAGGAGACATGTTTGTACATCAGGTCGTAGCACCAGAGTTCATTTCCACCTGTCGTCTCTGGGCAGGTTCAGTTATTGATTGTTTTTAACTGACCTGGGGCCTCATTTATAAATCTCGCTTACGCACAAATCCTTGCGTACGCGCTCTCTACGCCAACCACGGTATTTATGAATCTCGACTAATGCGTGGCACTTTGCTTAACTCTACGCCAGCGCGGGAACCTCCTGTGAGCACTGTGCAAAGTCTGGAGACACGGGGAAAAAGCGACACTCGTGGAGAGGAGCAGAAGTGAAGACAGTTTGAGGAAGAGTTTGATCAGGAACTCATCAGAAAATCCACGTATATAGAAGAATTACCTTCAGATTTGTGCATTTTTACGTGTTTGGTTCACCAAAACATGGAGAAGGGCTGTTTATTCCACTCATTATTCTCCACAATATTATACATTTGAAACTCGTGCACGAGCGCGACCACGATCCCGGTGCAGCGCAGAGTCTCCCACAGTCCACACCACGACCACAGACTTCTACAGAACACAGACTGACCAACACAGAGGACGAAATAATGACCCGACCTGAGAGAAAAACTCTTCCCTCGGACGGAGCACAGGAGCTTTTTTGGTTTAATGAAGCACTGGGACTAAACGCAACTTTAACACTTTTACTTTAGTTTTTATGCTCCGAGCGCCAGAGTGACCGAGTCTGCGCGCGACACGAAGCCCACTGCCCCAACCTGACCCCAACCTTAAACATTCCCTACATTTTAGTGTAATGGGAGCTCTTGCAAATGAGAGGTTGCTCTTTGACAAGAACACAATAATGTCTGTGCCCCGACCCGACCCGCACACTCACAGAGGTTAGAGGTTTGGATGTTTCGGGTGGACTTTTAATAATGGCAGAGTAACAGCTCCTGACTTATTTTTCTATATGTTTCGCGTTAAATCTGTGTCCACGTGTCCTCGTATCTCCCCCTCGCTCCTTCCCTTTCCAGGGGAGGGAAATCTCATTCACGAGTCACTTTACCTGCTCCTTTTCTGGTGAGGTGGAGGTGTGGGGAGGACGTGACGTGGGTTTGCATGCACTGACTCTAGTTGCAGGTGGGATTTATAAAGCAAAGACTGCGTGGTTTGGTGCGTGCGGTGGGTTTTCTAACTATGGAGTTTGCGTGGTGCACGTCTGTCGTAGCTACAGACGAACGCACGAACTTACGACAACTCCTGCACAGTTTTATAAATGAGGCCCCTGGACTCAACTGTTCTTCCTGGAGACATGCAGCGTGTTTTGGGTGATGAAAAATATTTCATAAAAATGTTTTTTTGCAGTGAAAATAAGTGTAAACGATGATGTTATTAAAATGATACACGCCACAGCTTTATGTTAGTCTACAGACGAACTCACAACAGCAGAGAACTTTACCAGAACGAAACACTTAGGGTTTAAGGTTTAAGGTTTAAGGTTTAAGGTTTAAGGGTTTAGGGTTTGGGGTTTGGGGTTTGGGTTAGTTAGTCACAACACTCTCACTGCTCTAAAGTTAATCTCATCTGGGCAGATCAAGTATCATAAAAAATTCCTGTTTTCCAGTGGAAATAAGGACGTGGGCGGCTGTTCATGTGCAATTCTCATGTTGGTTTTTGGTGTTTACGATAATTACCACGACACGAAGGCACCAAGGCAAAAGATAGATCTTTAGACCGAGTTTAGACCGAGTTTAGACCGAGTTTAGACCGGGTTTAGACCGAGTTAGACCGAGTTTAGACCGAGTTTAGACGAGACGAGTTAGACCGAGTTTAGACCGAGTTTAGACCGAGTTTAGACCGTTTAGACCTGGTTTAGACCTGGTTTAGACCGAGTTTAGACCGAGTTTAGACCGAGTTTAGACCGAGTTTAGACCAAGTTTAGACCGAGTTTAGACCGAGTTTAGACCGAGTTTAGATCGAGTTTCAGCCAGGGATCTAAAAGAGGTACCTAAAAAATCCTCCAGTTTAGGTTGTCCTCACCAAGCCTAACATGATCCTGGAGATGGGTCTCATGGTCTCATGGTCTCATGGTCTCATGGTCTCATGGTCTCATGGTCTCATGGTCTCATGGTCTCAGGGTCTCATGGTCTCATGGTCTCAGGGTCTCATGGTCTCATGGTCTCATGGTCTCAGGGTCTCATGGTCTCAGGGTCTCATGGTCTCATGGTCTCAGGTCTCATGGTCTCAGGTCTCAGGTCTCAGGGTCTCATGGTCTCAGGGTGGTCTCAGGGTCTCATGGTCTCATCTCATGGTCTCATGGTCTCATGGTCTCATGGTCTCATGGTCTCAGGGTCTCATGGTCTCATGGTCTCATGGGTCTCAGGGTCTCATGGTCTCAGGTCTCAGGTCTCATGGTCTCAGGGTCTCAGGGTCTCAGGGGTTCAGGGTTTTCAGGGTCTCAGGGTCTCAGGGTCTTCAGGGTCTCAGGGTCTCAGGGTCTCATGGTCTCAGGGTCTCAGGGTCTTCAGGGTCTCATGGTCTCAGGGTCTCAGGGTCTCAGGGTCTCAGGGTTTCAGGGTCTCAGGGTTTCAGGGTTTCAGGGTCTCAGGGTCTCAGGGTCTCAGGGTTTCAGGGTGTGGAGGTGAAGGACGGGTGCAGAGAACATCTGACTCACCCTTCACCTTAACCTACAGATGGATTTGGTTTAGTCCAGGTTGAGTCGAGGATCCGACACGTTCAGACGCCCTGAACCTAAAGTCCGGAGTCGACGTTTATCGAGACGCTTCAGAGAAAATGTCCTGCAGATCGAGTTTTGGATCTTTTTCTGTTTCCTCTGACGCTGAAAAAAACAAAATTTCTGTGCAGAACTTCTCCTCTTCTCCCTCCTCCTCCTCCTCCTCCTCCTCGTCTCCCTCGGTTTCCAGTAAATTCCTGTCTGGTTTAAAGTCCTTGTTTTTGCGTAACTCGGTGTGTAACTGTCTGAAGACGCTGCACTTTCCGTCTCCTCCGAATCGTCTTCATAAATAACTCCCATCTGACCTTTTACACCGAGAGAAAGAGAGACGGACGGAGAGAGAGAAGAAGAAGAAGAAGCGGAGGAGGAAAGTGGAGGAAAGTGGAGGGGGGAGTTCTCCCGCCTTCCGCCGCTTCTGTGTGTTCAGTTTTTTAAGATAATTTCAAGATAAGAGGCTCCGGGTTCAGGTCATGACTCGGGCTCTGACAGAGAGAGAGGAGAGACAGAGCGAGGGGGGAGAAAGGCGAGAGGAAGACGGAGAGAGAGAGAGAAGAAAGCAGAAAAGGGAGACGCGGAGGGATGATGGAGCGGTTCAGAAGATCCCGCGGTGACAGTTTGAGTGAAAGTGGGCGCGAGCAGCTGGAGCTCAGATGGGTTAAAGCTCAGATAAGATCAGGATTTATCCCCGTGTCAGAGGAGCGGCGCTTACAACGGCGGAGAGCGAAAACACAAGTCGGTTTGTCAGGAAAAGTCTGGGCAGCAGCTTTCAGCGACGACGGCAGCGCGAATGAGAAATGAAAGATCGAATAATTATATAAAGGCTCCTGGTTTAGATTATTACGCAAAAACCCGACTCCTGTGGCCCAAAGTCGTCCTCTGATGTTCAAAAACAGATCTGCAGTTTGGTTTTGTTTGAGTAAATCTTTATTATTAATCTGTTTACGATCTACAATCTGTGTGTCGTTCGTTTATTTGGTTTTTTTTTAATGTAAAACCAAAAATAAGAAAATGAAAAATCAACAGTTTTCTTCATGATTTGTCTCCAAAACCAAAATGGAAAAAAACAAAAAAAATAGATAATGATTTGTTTTTTCAGTTTTTCGATTTTGTGTTTAAATGAAAAATGGAAAAAACAGATAACGGACTGAACCAGGACTAAACCAGGACTAAACCAGGACTAAACCAGGACTAAACCAGGACTAAACCAGGACTAAACCAGGACTAAACCAGGACTAAACCAGGACTGAACCAGGACTAAACCAGGACTAAACCAGGACTAAACCAGGACTGAACCAGGACTAAACCAGGACTAAACCAGGACTAACCAGGACTAAACCAGGACTAAACCAGGACCAGGACTAAACCAGGACTAACCAGGACTGAAACCAGGACTGAACCAGGACTAAAACCAGGACTAAACCAGGACTAAACCAGGACTGAAAAGGACCAGGACTAAACCAGGATTAAACCAGGACTAAAACCAGGACTTAAACCAGGACTAACCAGGACTGAACCAGGACTAAACCAGGATAAACCAGGATTAAACCAGGACTAACCAGGACTAAACCAGGATTAAACCAGGACTAACCAGGACTAAACCAGGACTAAACCAGGATTAAACCAGGACTAAACCAGGACTGAAACCAGGATTAAAACCAGGACTAAACCAGGATTAAACCAGGACTGAACCAGGACTAAACCAGGACTAAACCAGGACTGAACCAGGACTAAACAGGACTAAACCAGGACTGAACCAGGACTGAAACCAGGACTAAACCAGGACTGAAAACCAGGACTAAACCAGGACTAAACCAGGACTAAACCAGGATTAAACCAGGACTAAAGGACTAACAGGACTAACCAGGACTAAACCAGGACTAAACCAGGACTAAATAGGATTAAACCAGGACTAAACCAGGATTAAACCAGGACTAAACCAGGACTAAACAGGACAAACCAGGACTAAACCAGGATAACCAGGACTAAACCAGGACTAACCAGGACTAAACAGGACACCAGGATAAACCAGGACTAACCAGGACCAGGACTAAAGGACTAAACAGGATTAAACCAGGACTAAACCAGGACTGAACCAGGATTAAACCAGGATTAAACCAGGACTAAACCAGGACTGAACCAGGACTAAACCAGGATTAAACCAGGACTAAACCAGGACTAAACCAGGACTAAACAGGATTAAACCAGGACTAAACCAGGATTAAACCAGGACTAAACCAGGACTAAACCAGGATTAAACCAGGACTAAACCAGGACTAAACCAGGACTGAACCAGGACTAAACTGTTTTCAGTCATGGTCTGGTCCCAGTCTCAGTCCTGGTCTCGGTCCCAGCCTGGTCCTGGTCTGGTCCCGGTCTCAATCACGGCCTGGTCCTGGTCTGGTCCCGGCCTCAGTCCTGGTCTGGTCCTGTTGGTCCTGGTCTGGTCCCAGTGGTCCTGGTCTGGTCTGGTCAGTCCTGGTCTGGTCCCTGACTCAGTCCCGTCCAGGTCCAGTCTGGTCCTGGTCTGGTCCAGGTCTCAGTTGGTCCTGGAACTGGTCCCGGCCTCAGTCCTGGTCTAAGTCCTGGTCTGGTTCCGGTCTGGTCGGACCTGGTTTAGTCCTGGTTCAGTCACAGAAAGAGGAAACAGTCGTGATCTTTTTTTTCCATTTTTCATTTAAACACAAAATCGAAAACTGAAAAAAACGAATCATTATCTGTTTTTTATTTTGGTTTTGGAGACAAATAATGAAGAAAATAGTAGTTTTTTCATTTTCTTATGTTTTGTTTTATTTTGAAAAACGAATGAACGACTGACACTCTGATTATCTACGTCTCCAAACTCTCTGCTCCACCTTGTGATGTCATGAAGTGGCAGTGTTCTTTTCCCTTCAGTTCAGTTCCACGGCTCAAATTAAATTCTGCTGCGCGACTTTTAGCTGGAAGCAAAAAAACAGCGTGAGCTCATGATCCAGATTCGATCCTCGCTGCTTTGGCTCCAGTTTGTTTTAGAATCAATTTTAAGATTTTATTGTTTGTTTTTCAGTTCAGAAAAAACAAACTCTGGCCCGACGAAATTAAGAGTTTTATCATGATTCGAGTAAATTTCATTTGACAAGTGAAACGATCTGCCAGCGGAACGAGACTTTTTGTACTTGAAATGTGAAAATCCATCTTGCTGCGTTTAAACTAAGACAAACAAACAACTTTTTACACTTAAATGAGAAACAAAATCTAATGTTGCTTGAATTAAGAGAAACACACTCACTTTATTCCACTGGGAGATTATTTTACTTGTCGAGTTAAATAAAGTCAAAATGTTCTTAGTTTAAGTCAGACGCGTCAAACTCAGGCCCGGGGACCAAATTTGGCCCGTGATATAATTATATTGGGCCCGTGAGATCAAATCAAATCTGTATTAGGGTGTGTCAAAAAGTCAGAGGTTTTTCAACCTAATCTTGTTCCATATGGTAGAAAACTATATGAAGCAAATATTCAAACCAGTTTGTTAAGGATATGTAAGTGAGAACCAAGAGTTATCACTGTTTGGATTTATTGACCAAAAAGTGCTGCATATTTCATTCCCTCCGTTACCGACATGAGTTTTTACATTTTTGTCTTGAACTTGAAAGAATCTCACAGGTTTAACTTGACCCTGTTGGAGTGTAACTCTTTCCTACATTCTGATACTTTACTTATTTCAATAGTTCCTCTAGTTTCTGAAGAAGAGACATTTGAATGTCAAAAATCTGACCCTGTTTCCTCCGTTACACCTCGACCGGACACATGTGTCGTTTAAGTCACACAGACACATGAGCTGCTCCTCTGGGACTGATGGAAGCGTCTCGTCTCACACCTCAGCTGGACACACCCTGACCTCTGACCTCTGACCTCTGACATGAGGCGCAGCACCAAAACAGTCTGTAATTAAAATAAATGTTCTTAATTTTGCTGTACATAAGATTTCATTGGGCCACTTCTGTTTGTAATTATCAAAATAAATGTTCCTTGTTTGTCTGACGCGGCAGATGAACTTATCTCTATAAATAGACTGGAGATCCTCAGAAATGTCCTCGCCTGTTTACTCCACACTATAACCGCACCAAATCATAACCAGTGTCGGGGAGTAACAGATTACATGTACCAGAGTAATCAGAGTACAAATGATGAGTAACTATATTCAGTTACAGTTACTGTTTCAGTGAGTGGGAATTGGATTACAGTTACTTTGTTGAAATAAATGGATTACACAGAGGGATTTAACTGTTTTCACATTTTGGGTGAACTTTTTTTTTTTTGTTTTTTTTGGTAATTCCACTCATTGCCGGAAACTAAACCAGGTCTAAACTAGATCTAAACCAGGTCTAAACCAGGACTAAACCAGGACTAAACCAGGTTTAAACCAGGTCTAAACCAGGACTAAACCAGGACCAAAACCAGGTCTAAACCAGGTCTAAAACTGGACTAAACCAGGACTAAACCAGGTCTAAACCAGGACTAAACTAGATCTAAACCAGGTCTAAACCAGGTCTAAAACTGGACTAAACCAGGACTAAACCAGGTCTAAACCAGGTCTAAATCCTGCTGTGTGGACGTGTTTCTTCTTCTTCTGTCAATAATATTTTTTAATTTGGTTCAGTAAAGTCTGGACTTTTTATTTTCTTTTATCAGACAAAACTTCTTATGTTACGATTTCCTCGTCTTTGTTTCGCTACAACAAATCAAGTAATCCAAAGTAATCAGATTACATTACTCACTTTAAGTAATTTAATGGATTATGTTACAAACTACATTTTGGGGTGTGTAATCTGTAATCTGTAGGGATTACATTTTAAAAGTAAACTTCCCGACACTGATGATAAATGTGACTCACTTCACTCCACTCAGAGCAAGAAAATAATATCAAATAATAAAAGAAAAGATTTAACGTTACAGAAGAGAAAACAGGCAGATGTTGTTGAAATGTTTCAGTAAATATTTAGTTTGGCCCAAGACTTTTAATTCCTCCCTCTGTGAGTTTGAGTTTGACACGCCGGCTTTAAGTCATTTTAATTTAGTCGGATATTCTGTTTTTTGTAAAGCGCTGAGTGGAATCTCGCTCCCCCGCGCTCCCAGTCCAAATCTAAATCCACTTTATTGCTGCAACACATTTTACGAAACAAAAACAGTTTCCAAAGAGCCGCGCGGAGATCAGAAAACGAAGACGACAAAAAGGTCAAGTGTTAAAATGTGGTCACGCCGGCTCTAAAACAATAAAACCAATAAAATCAAATCAAAACAAAACTATACAAATCATAAAACAGCAATAAATAACTAAAATAAATAAAAGACACAGAGGAGGAGACGACTCACGCGATGTTAAAGCCAGAAAATAAAAGTGGAGTTTAAGACGAGACTTAAAACTCTCCACTGTGGGGGGGCAGAGCATTCCAGAGTGTTTCAGAGTGTTCCAGAGCATTCCAGAGCGTTCCAGAGAGTTTCAGAGCATTCCAGAGTGATTCAGAGCATTCCAGAGCGTTCCAGAGTGTTCCAGTGCGTTCCAGAGCGTTTCAGAGCATTCCAGAGAGATTCAGAGCGTTCCAGGGCATTCCAGAGTGTTTCAGAACATTCCAGAGCATTTCAGAGCATTCCAGAGTGTTTCAGAGCATTCCAGAGCGTTCCAGGGCATTCCAGAGTGTTCCAGGGCATTCCAGAGTGTTTCAGAGCATTCCAGAGTGTTCCAGGGCATTCCAGAGTGTTTCAGAGCATTCCAGAGTGTTTCAGAGAGTTTCAGAGCATTCCAGAACGTTCCAGAGTTTGGGCCCGGGCACAGAGAAGATCCTGTCCTCTTGGTTTTAAATCTGGTCTTAGGCCCCAGGAGCTGGAGCTGGACCTCGGACCTCAGAGGTCACAGGGGGAGTAAATCTGGACGAGGTCCGAGGTCCAGATCTCTGTGTCTTATCCTTGTTCTGGTCCAGCTCCAGATTGTTCCAAACTCACTCAGGAAACGTTCTGCTCTGTCCTGAAAATGGGACTTTTTTTAGGATCGACATCTGCGATAAAAGAGGATGTAGTTTCGATAATAGTTTTTGTATCGATTCGTGTGTGAAATAAAATAAATAAATAAACACATAAATAAATAAAGTGTGTGTCTTTTGTGCAGCTGGAGGTGAGCGGAGCTGTGACCTCGACGCTCCTGACCAGACTTCGCTCTCAGACGGAGTACGACGTCGCGGTGACGCCCGTCTACGACCAGGGCCCCTCTGCACCCATGCTCAACAGCGCCACCACCGGTCAGACCCCGGACCTGCTCCTGCCTGCTCCTGCCTGCTCCTGTCTGCTCCTGTCTGCTCCTGCCTGCTCCTGCACTGTAAACCCGAATTAGTAATCATTACTTAAACTCCCAGGGTAACCCGTTGCAACGAGATGTTGAGTTTTTGCAGAAACAAAAACTAAACAAATCAAGTTTTCACAACACACAATTTTGAGTGCAAGAAAACAAATACTAACAAACTAAGATTGTAACTACTAGTATTTACAAGTAATTAACTTACAAAAACTAATGTTTATTAGTAACTAATAATTATCTTTTTAAGCAATTATAACTTTCTAAACACATTCTGGTTGCCTTGTTTTATTACAATTTTAATACTAGTTAATTATGGTGTTTATTACTGATCTTTTTAAGAAAACCAAGCACAATAAGTTTCTTTTTGTTATTTGCAAAAATAATGCATTCAACTCTGAATACAGTTAACATTGTACAATACAACAGTCTTAAACATTGCTGTAACTTTACCTTTTAATTAAAAGTGCCATTTTAAAACACTGTTCTAAAAGTTTTTTTCTCATGTAAAAATCAAGGCAATGGCAGCAAATCAAATAAATTTACAAACTAAAAGTCAACTTTTAGTTTGCGTTTTAGCCACCAACATACAACAAAAATAAAATACATATGTTGGATTTTACAAACAGTTTGAACCTTTACCTTGTGTATTGCACAACACAGTATATAGCAGCATAAGTTTTTTTTTTTTTTTTTAAACCATTTACCAGCAAAACTACAAATTAGGTAAAAAAAAAAGTTCTGATCAAAATATAATTGTAATAACTAAAGGAAAAAAGTTTTCAAACAAATTAAGATCTTTTTAGTTCAATCTTTTATAAAGTGATACTTTTATATGAAGTAAATGGTTGCTTAATCACAAAACTTATGGAACTAAAACCATTCTTAGTTGAAACTGATTTGGAACAATAAGCTAGTCACAAATGGCTTACACTTGTAGTTGGTTTTTCAGGGTTTGAATTCTTGACCTCAACTCAGTGTTTCCCAAAGAGAAGAAAACCTGCTGAATGAACAAAAGTGTATTTCGGAACCTTTTAGGATAGTCGAGATGCAGTCCGTACGTGAGACCAAAAAGGAGGCAGATAGTCTCTGGGAGGTTGGACAAATTGTCCATTACAACTTGACCCTCAATGACAATTTTTAGACTTGAAGGTCGAAGAGATGGGGATCCACTTTCTTTAAAGAGCATCAGGATTCCAATGTCAGTTTGATCGAAGGACTCATCGCCGTCCTACAATAAAGAATAAAGTAACTAAATGGTATTGTTTGGTTCCAGACCAATGCGTCGTCTCAACATTCACTCTTTGAAATTTAAAATGTAGCTAAGAAAATCATTTGTGGAATATAAAACCTATCCTATAGAGCAGTGATTCTCAACCCCTATGAGTAGGGCTGAGCAATTTGGTGATAATTGAAACATGATCTCAAATCTGTGACAATCTGCTTTTTTGATGAAATGGTCATATCGTGATTTCACCTTTTTCTCAGTTTAATGCAGCTCTCTGTTCAATTAGAGACCATTTTACCATCCCGTTTGCCCACCCTTACCTATGAGGTAAGGGCGAAAAGAGTTCTGATGGTCCCCAGAAGGTATGAATGAACATTTTAAAATGATATGTCTTAAAGAAGGTTTTATATGGAGTGGCAAATGTAGATTCCCATTTGAAGGCTTACAAAATTAATTAATCTAGGCCTGTATTCTTAAAATAAAAAAAACATAAAACATAAAGCTACTTCAACACTTCGTTGTAAACCTGCATTTTATGTTTGGGGGTCGTGAATGCCTAAAGTTGTTATTTTAGAGGTTAAGACTGAAAAAGTTTGAGAACCACTGCTAGAGAGGAACAGAGGAGTGTTACAAATTCAAAAGTACATTTAACAAAATATACAATTAATACTGCACATGGGTGAATAGGAGTATAAAGAAGCGACAGAGCGAGACAGGAGCGAGAGACAGAGAAAGAGCAACAGAGAAAGTTAGCTAGGCAGAGATATAGTTGACAAGATAGTAAGAGTTAGAAAGATAGCAAGAGAGACAAGACATAGCTAGGTAGTTAAAATGATTTTGCGTTAAAGAGCCAAATAGAGAAAGAGACTGATAGTTAAAGAGATGGAGAGAAAAAGTTGGCTAGAGAAAGATAGATGGTTAAAGAGATAGAGAAAAGAGCCAGAGAGTTAGGGTAAGAGAGTTAAATTTATATACGAGTTAGAAAACCAACTAGAGAAAAGGAGATGAATAGAGTAAAAGAGACAGAAAAAGAGTTAGCGAGATAGTTAGAGATGGTTAGAGATATAGAGAGATGGGGAGTTTGAGATACAGCTAGACAAAGACACAGAGAGATAGCAAGAGAGTCAGAGATAAATGCATAGAAAGAGTTGGAGATGGCTAGAGCGAGAGTGTAATATCCTTGTTAATGAAGGATGAGCGGACCACAGGTTGTAGATGACTTTTGGTTTTTACTGAACGTTACTCAATCACAGTTCAACAGCAACCGGGAACAACAACTGACACATTTTTCCCAACCTTCCGCCTATGCCTCCACCTAGTGGTCAACACGGGGTATAACATGTATCTACTACATTCCTCCCCTCTTAAGCTATTACTTTCATCTTAACTACTCAAACAAAAATTAACTAATTATTCTGTAGCTTTCCAAAACTAGCCACCTTCACATTTAACTGTGTCATCTTCTCAAACATTATAATAACCCTGACACAACCTTTTTTTTTCTTTTTTTTTTTTTTTTGTTAAGAATCAACATTCATAGTCTTTCAGATAACTAGGTTTTGAGACAGTCCGTTGAGAACGCCGTGCAGCTGTTTGCTGGGGTGGTGCGTCCTTTGCTGCATCTGGGGCCGGAATATCTGTCACAGGTGGTTTTGGGTTTTCTTGCACAGTTCCTTCTGGAGCACAGCTATTTCTCACTGGCACAGGATCAGCTGAAGACAAATCCACCATGGGTGGTTCTATGATCTTAGGGTCTACTAGGTCCGCGTCTTCCGGTCTGGCCAGTATCTGGTCAACATGCCTTCGGACAACTGTTCCATCTCCCAACATGACCTTGTAAGACACCGGTCCCGTGACTTTGGTAATAAAACCCCGAACCCATTTAGGCCCATAACTGAAGTTCCGTGTAGACACTGCATCTCCCACTTGGAAACCTCTTCCTGATCCGAGCTTGTCGTGATGCTTCTTCTGCATGCACTGCTTCCGTTCCACCTTGTTTCTGAGGTCCGGATGCCCTAGATCCAGTGTCGATCTCAACCTCCTGCCCTGCAACATTTCCGCTGGTGACAGCCCTGTGGTGGACTGAGGGGTAATGCGGTAACTAAACAGCACTCTTGAAACTTTAGTATGGATGCTACCTTCACCTGCTTTTTTCATCATGGACTTAAATGTCTGGACTGCACGCTCGGCACAGCCATTTGAAGAAGGATGATAAGGAGCTGAAGTGATGTGTTCGATTCCGTTCTTCCTCATGAATTCTTGGAATTCGGCACTCACAAAGCACGTACCATTATCTGACACAATCATCTCAGGTAATCCTTGACTGCTGAAACTTCTCCGCAGACATTCAATCGTATTGGCAGAAGTTGCTGAGGTTACCGCGTAGGCGTCCATCCATTTGGAATAGGCATCCATCAGTATCAAAAACATGTGACCCATAAAAGGACCCGCATAGTCTATGTGTAGCCTCTGCCACGGTTTACTCGGCCACTCCCAAGGGTGGAGTGGTGCTGGAGCTGGTAAGTGGCGATGTTCTTGGCAGGTGCTACATCTTTTCACTACAGATTCAATGTCTGCATCTAACTTTGGCCACCAGAAGTAGCTTCGTGCTAATGCTTTCATTCGGGTGATGATGCCTGGGTGACCATGATGCAGTTGACCCAGTAATGCTTCGCGACCTGTCGGGGGTACCACCACGCGTGACCCCCACAATATACACCCATCTTGCACACTTAATTCGGTTTTTCCTCACCGCATAAGGCTGGAAAGCTGAGTCTGAGTGTTGTGGTGGCCAGCCATGTTGAATGAACTGACAGACTTTGGACAGCACTGGGTCTTTTCGTGTCCACTGGCTAATTTCACTGGCTGACACGAGCGTTACCTCCTCCAGCATCAGTACGCGGTCCTCCTGCTCTCTCCTGACGGCTGTCTGAGGCAGGGGGAGCCGGCTCAGAGCGTCCGCATTGCTGTGGTGTTTACCCGGCTTATAGACAATCTCATACTCATATGCTCGCAAAGTCACTGCCCAGCGCGCTGAATGCGAGGGGATGCCATTTGAGGCACTGCTTTCATCTCACTGAAGAGGGACAGTAAAGGCTTGTGGTCTGTACAGATGATGAACCTCCTTCCATATAAATATTTATGGAAGCGCTGAATGCCAAACATCACCGCCAGTCCTTCTTTGTCCAGCTGCGAGTAGTTTGCTTCAGCTGCCGTGAGTGTCCGTGACATGAAGCCAATAGGCCGCTCTTGCCCGTCTGGCATGCGATGCGACAACACCGCCCCTACTCCGTAAGGCGACGCATCGCAGGACAGGATTAAGTCTTTATGGCTGTCATAATGCACTAACACCTCTGACGACTGCATGAGCCTCTTAGACTCCTCAAAAGCTCTCTCTTGCTCCTCCTGCCAGTTCCACGGCGTTTCTTTCCTTAACAGTCTGTGCAAGGGAGCTAACCGTGTTGAGAGATTTGGCAAGAATCTGTTGTAATAGTTGAGCAGGCCTAAGTAAGCTCTCAGTTCTGTGACATTAGTTGGTGCTGGTGCCTGTTGTATAGCCCTGACCTTGTTTGGCAGAGGGTGGAGCCCCGCGGCATCCACTTTGTGTCCCAAGAACTCGGCCTCTCGCTCCATGAAGACACATTTGTTGCGCTTCAGACGAAGACCAGCCTCTCGTAGCCGCTGTAGGACTTCGTTCAAGGTCTCCAGGTGCTCGTGGT